TGCCGAAATGGCAAACCGTCAAATGGACCACTGAGTGCCGAGGAAACCACTGCGGCCGAACTATACTGGATCAACAACGTTCAGAACAGTACTTACTCAGACGAGATAAAATGTCTCTCGAAGAAAGAAAATGTTCACAAACAATCGTCTCTAGCAGAGATGAGTCCATTTTTGGATAAAGACAATATCATCCGGGTTGGAGGCCGGCTTCAGATGCTGCCAGCATCGGACAATGTGAAACACCCAATCATATTGCCGAGTGAGCACTACTTCACAACCCTGGTCGTACAGAACGCCCACTCCAAGGTACTTCACGGAGGAGCACGAGACACGTTGGCGCAACTCCGAGAACGATTTTGGATTATAGGAGGGAGAAGATTGGTGAAGAAAGTGATCTTTAGCTGCTGTTTATGCAAGAGGTTCCGCCTCACGGCTGACACTGCCCCAACGGCTCCACTTCCCCTTGACCGACTGAAGCAAGGCGCGCCCTTTGATGTTGTAGGCGTAGATTTTGCAGGTCCTTTGTATGTCAAGACAGCAAGCGGCAGTGTGAAGTCCTACGTTGCACTTTTCACTTGTGCAGTGTCTCGCGCCGTTCATCTCGAACTTGTTTCTGCAATGTCTACAGAAGCGTTTCTAATGGCCTTTCGACGTTTCACGGCACGGAGAGGGTTGCCAACAACGATCTATTCTGACAACGCACCAACATTCAAGAAGGCATCAAAGGACCTATATGCGTTGTTTAGAGCGATGCAAGAAGAAGATTTTACGTCTCATCTTGCCAAGAACCGAGTAACATGGAAGTTCATTGTTCCCAGTGCCCCATGGTGGGGAGGCTGGTGGGAGAGGCTCGTGCGAACGGTAAAGACCACCCTACGGAAAGTGCTAGGGAGGGCATGCCTAACCTCTGAAGAATTATCCACTGTTTTGACCGAGGTTGAACGAATAGTCAACTCCCGACCTCTAACAATGGACAGCACAGACGCCACGGAGCCCAGGCCGATAACCCCAGGAGATATATTGCTTGGGAAAAGATTGGCGTGCTTGCCCGACCCAACAACGGAGACGGAGCACCAATCCAAAAGAACAGACCTACTCAAGAGGATCAAGTACCGACGGTGCTGAACGGACAACTTTTGGAAACGCTGGCAGCACGAATACTTGTTGCAGCTTCGATCAGCGCACCATATGCAACCAGCTTCTGTGTCAACCCTAAGTGTAGACGACGTTGTTCTTGTGCACGATAGTAATGCACCGAGACAATTGTGGCAAATGGGAAGAGTGCTGAAGACCCACAGAGGAAGAGACGGTAACATACGGTCCTGTCAGGTAAAACTGCAAAATGGATCGATTACCGACCGACCACTTCAACGCCTTCATCCCCTGGAGGTCAGCGCGTGACTCATTTCGCGGTCGGGATTGTGTTGAAAATAGATCAAACTGGTCGAGTACCAGCGAAGCAGTGTTGAGCAGCACAATGGCAAGCTTGCACACGAGATCGGGGCCTGCGCTCGTGGACGGCGAGCGTGGAGCTCGTTCACTTTTTTTTATTACCATTTCTTTTTTCGCATCGAACGCACGTCGGAATTAAAGCTCTTCAATTTTGTGAAGCTGCCGCTGTTCCTGGGTCTTCATATCAACACCTTATTGGATCCCCATACGACACATGGGGATCCAATAAGGGTTTATACGGTATTGGATTCCAATATTTTCAGCGTATTATGGATATTGGAATCTCATAACAAATCCTTATTTTAATACAATACAATAAATGTAATGTTTTCCAATACGCTGTCTATATTGTATTGCAATACAATAAAAAGATTGTTTACCAATATCCATAATACGCTGTTTATATTGGGGTTTTCCAATAGGGTTACGCCTCTTGCAATGCCAATCCCTCGTCCAACGAGAAGTTGGACGCTTGCTTGCAGCAGTGCTACACCGCAGGTGGCTTTTTCGGTCAAGAGAGGCAGAAAGACACGCGACAGCGGCGGCAGGTTTACGTGGCTGGCAAGGACTGGCACTGCAGCTAACGTCGCTTTGGGATTTTCCGCCGATGGGACAGGCTTCTGAAGCGTCAGCTCGTTCTCCACAAGGTCGATGATGGCGCCGTATTCACAAAAGAAGTTCATTTCGAGATTGACGTCCCTCGAACAGTCTTGCAGAACGACGAACTTCACAGGGCATGTTTCACCGTGAATTTCGACGCGAGCGGTGCCCCTCCCGACTGGCGTGATGAGGTGCCAACCCGCAGTTCGTATCTGTGAACCATCCCATGGCGTCGTCACTTTCCAAAGACGTTGGGAGAGCCTCGCACTCAGGACGGAGTAGTCTGCTCCGGTGTCGACGAGTGCCGATGAGTCGAGGCCGTCGATAACGACGTTTAGGTTGTTGGACACTGATGCATTAGCGTCGTTGTTAGCCGATTCACACGACGGACCGAATCGCAATTTTCGTCCATGGACCGTGTACCACGTGACCGGCACGTCACCGATTCCTGCGATCCGCGCCTCCTCCGCGGAGGCGCGGAGTGATAAAGTCAAGCGCCTTTTTCACTCGCGGACTTTTGACGGAGGATCTCGAATGCTTTGGCGTGAAAAACGCAGTTAGTTTGGCAACAGTGAAACTTTCCTGGTTTGCGCGGGAAAGATGGCTGGCGAACCGTGCTCCGATTTTGCTGTCCCTGGCCCTTCGTACGGCTCAAAATTAAGCGATGAAGCAAGCATGTTTTTCATTTCGCTTGTGGAGCATTTCCCAGCGCTTTGGGACATGACGATGAGCGAGTACGCCAACAACGCTTTGAAAGGCGCGTTGTGGCGACAAATCGCCGACGAGATGGAGGACCGCTACCCTGAATGCGGCCCGTACGTCCCCGGTACGTATTATGACTATAATGTACTCCATTTCTATTCCGTCCGAGCATGCAGAAAACGTTTGGGCAGCACTCACGCCACCCAGTACACCTATTTCTTTAAACTGTATGCCGCGTTTCCCATTACTGTGCCTGCAGTGTGGCGGGTCGCCCGTAGGGAGACTCGATCTCTTGCTTCGAGATGGCTCGGTTGCTTAAAATGGGGGCTCCCCAGAGAAATTCTGGACGGAAGCACACCTTTCATTGTTCTCTCTGCTAGACTGCGAACAGAAAGCTATTCTTACCAAGCCGACCGATGAAAACTTATTGCGGAGATCGCGCAGTGTGACGCGTTTGTTGTATCCAGATTTGAAGCTTTTTTTTTTTTCTCTCTTTTTTTTTGCGGTGGGGGATCGATATTGCTGCATACATTGGTGTTCAATGGTATTGAACCCTGCAAAGCTTGTTTACCTGAAAGTGCAGGAAAAAAATTGCTTACACAGTGATTGTGCCCTGCATTACCTGCAGCCTTTGAAGAGTAAAATATGTTTTGTGTTGCAGATACGCTGAAGACATTCTTCAATAACAAGAGGAGGACCTACCGTGCAGAGAAAAAAAAACTGGAGTCATCGAAAAGCGGCCAAGCTTCCAGCGATTCATACAAGGGCAAATGGAAGTTCTTCCATTGTCTGAACTTCCTAGATGCTGCCAAGCCGAAAGGGACAAGGACCTTCAGCGAGGCTTTTGAGGTGGCAGAGCCAGAGGCGGTAAATTTTGTAGCTGCCTTATATATGCCATTCCAGAAGTCATTGCGATACACTGCTATCTGTTGTGTAGATTCTTGTTTTGAGCGACTATTCCCTTTTGCAGGTTAAGAAAAGCTGAACAAGCTCCTCCCACTCTTTTCACTTTAGCAAGAGAAAGCTGGAGAGGAGGCAAGGAGCGACCCACCTTCTGTCCCGTGTTCACTCGCTGAAGTGGAAAGAGGAGCACGATCTCTTCCTGCTTTTCTTAATTTCCACAATAGACTTGTTACGGTTACGTCACCACAGTGACAACTGAAACATTAACTCAAGACGTGCAGTATCAATCTGAGTAATTTTTTTGCGTGCAAGTTTTGACAGCGGGAAGTTGGACTGCGCCAAGCGCTGTCCTTTATCTCCACTGTAAATGAGAAATTCAGCCATTGCAGTACAAATGCCAGCTTTATATCATTTTTTCTAAATTTAGAAGCGTTTATGAATTTTTTAGCCATTCTGTGCACAGACTCTGTGCACACATAAGCGCTTTACATACTGTCAGTGTGAATTACAGTGGCACATGTTTATTCATGAGACGAGTACATAAAGCGAGGGATGCAAGCAGGAACACCGAATACTTTGCTCAAGTATATTGGGCACATGGAGTGCATTTCAACTGTCATGAGGTACCGTACCCTCATATGAAGACAATATAAAACACCTGCTCTAACATAAAAATACAGTCAGTTCTTGAACATCTTGCAAATTAAATGATTTTGATATTACTGGAGTTTGTTTCCTTCTTTGCAGGACAGGGCAGGTCAACCTTCTTGAAGCCCACGAAGGCTGGCATGACTCGCTCTGTGCATAGATAAAATTAATTTGCATGCAACTTTTAATTACAGCAAAACGCTGAGCAAAGTGCGGACCAGGATGCCGACCCGGACGCCAACATCGAGTATGCGCCACAGCCGTCCCCTGCCTCTGTGAGTACGGCCAGCAGTAGTAGCGTGTCAAGGAAAGCTCGAAGCTCGCAGCCCTCAGCTAACGATTGGGCTGCGAGAACAGCTGCCCTTGAAAAAATAGCAGTTGCTGTTCAACAGCCTTCCGACGCAGATGACGCCTCTGCACATTTTGCGAAGGCTGCTGCAGCACTCATGCGACCAATGAACCCATTAAAGTTGGTTCGCGGCCAGGCTGAAATACTCAGTGTCATAGAAAAACGTCTGACCGAATAAAAGTTGAAGTTAACTGTTTACTTGCTTCTTTTTGTCTGCACTCCTTTCTTCGGTCTGCGTGTGCAGTGTTTGTCTAACTCAACGTAGGCGGCCTCTCGCTGCCATGACACAGCACCCCTGCCATTGAAAAAACTACACATGTCCTCTCTGACTGCAGCGCCAAATGTGCTAGCACGTCCACGCGATGCTGGGAAGATGAAAAAACGTTGGGCGACCTCGGCGTTCCTTCTCTGTATCTGCCCTTGATGCTTGTTGGGGCAGCACGTTGTTGCTGAGAAAGTTGTGCAGGACACATGCAGCATTGACGATGGCAGTGGCCCTTTCGGGAATTGCATTTATCACTGTCAGCAAACACCTGAAACGGTTGGCCAGGATTCCGAATGTGTTTTCTACAACACGTCTAGCTCTGGACAACCTGGAAAGGAACAGGCAAGTATCGAGCGAGTCATCAAGACTAAGAAGCAGATCAGTAGGCAGCAGACTTTTCTATTCTAGCTGAAACCAAGAGACTACCAGCGACGGAAATGTAAAATTATGACTTAAGAACGCCACTTTTCGGACATTGCCGGCACGTAGCAACAACTATTTTGTCGAAACCTCTCCTCCCTATAATCCAGGGTGTCGAACCGGAACCGAACCGAACCGAAAACCGGAACCGAACCGGTATTTTTTCCGGAACTGAACCCGAACCCGAACCGTTATATTGTTATCGCGATGAACCCGAACCGGAACTGAACCGGAAAAAAAATAACGGTTACCGGCTCATGTCAAAACGGTTCGCCACGGGCTGTTGACAATGAATGTGCTGTCAATGCCATTTGTTGTTTAAGTGCCGTCAACTGACACACACCTCGCTTACATATTTTTCTTCTCCACTCAGTCTTAGGAATATAAACGCTGCATCCATGAATCTTGACAAACGCTGCATCCATGAATCTTGACATAGGAACCAGTATTGCGCTGGTCGCGGCTTGCACGAAAGAAGAAGAATTGAAAGGCTGTGCAAAAAAAAAAAAAAAATCGCGTCACGGGATTTTATTTTTCTACAATCTCGTAAATCCTAAATGCTGCTGTGTGCTCATTTCATAACACGTTTCTAGAACGCGCGAGTTCTTGAAGCTTGCTTCCATCGGAATGAGAAAAGAAAAGGCTGTGGAGTTTGATAATAATTCATGCGGTTTCGTATAGGCACTTAGAAGCTAACATATTTGTGAGACAGCGAACTCTTCTATTTTAATATTTATCCTATTACGTCCTTCTGGCGTTGCGTTCGGTGAAGTGCTTTTCATATTCCGTATCTTGTTTAATGAAAACTTCTTTAACGGTCTAATTTGAGTTACCGAAGGCTAGTTCAAATAAAGAAAGCTGTATTTTCTCCCCACTGTTCCTTCAATTGCTTACACGCCGAGGTGGCGGGATAGTTAGCGAGTTCTACTTGTACGTGGGTTTGTAAGGAGGTCGCGGATTTTGCAGCTACTGCGTCGGACACAATTAGATGAAGTCCGAATGCGTAAACGTCGGTGAGGTAACCTTTGAGTGCACATAAAGAAGCCATTCCTGGTAGAAATCCCTGAGCCTTACACTACGATGTATCCCGTTTCGTATGTGCTGATTTCAGATGTTTTATTTGTAATTTATTTTGATGTTGCAATTTGTCATTTATAATTTCCGATCCGGTTCGCGAACCGGTTCAGCGTCCCGAACCGGTTCGCGGATCGAAATAATTGAACCGGAACTGAACCGGAACAAAATAAATTTACCTGAACCTGAACCGTAACCGAACCCGTATTTTTTTTGGTTCGACACACTGCTATAATCAATAACAGGGTAAAAACCCACAAGATGTTCTGTCTCCAGCTTGCACTCGTTGCCTTCCCCCAGGTTTGGGCTGTGTGCGATGAAGTATACTATCAAAGGCACACAGCTCGTGCTCGAGGCACAGCATCTACCGAGTTTTTAGCCTGTCACAGGCTATGGACATTCATGGGAAGTGCCATTTTGGCTAGAATAAAGCATCCTGCCAGTCCGCAATCAGTCGAGTCGTTTGATTTGGAGGACGGTGGCTTGAGAGGTAAGTCGGTACAGATAGATGATCGTAATATATTGTCCCAATATCTTCCAGCTCGGCTTACTATAGAAAAATCAGGCAAGTGATGACAAGCAGTTCACAGACGAGTTGTTCTTGTTCTGTAAAACCTGCAGGTTTCTTGAAGTTGAATGCAAGCCAAAAAATCTTGATTTCCAGTCCTTATAATGCTGCCAGTGCTCTTTTTTTGGAAGCTGTTTGCAACAGACTAGCCAGTACTGTTGCAAACATCTCTTGAGATTCCTGATTTGTAGCAGAAATACTGCAAAGCCATTCTCAAAATTGTGCACCGTATCCAGGAAGAGATGGGTAGACTGGCCGGTTAGAATCTTTCATGTATAAAAACACATGAAGTGTTCTTATGCGCAAAGTGTCTGTGAAACAGCTTTGATTGGGTAAATAACTTTTAACTTGGATTCGTATATTCACCTCTATCTGACATACCCCAAAAACTTACCTGTAATTAAATATCCGCTGTTCTTCCGTGAGGTTTGTGCCACCAAACGGCTTCATGAGATTTTTTCCAACAGGAAATGCATCATCGCCCACAAAAACGGGGGGCAGAAACTTGTCTGGTGAGCTTGCTACCTTCACCAGCTCTGGCAGATGGATCCTCTTGCTTGCCAGAGCTCGTTGTAACGGTGTAGTCTGCGAGATGCCGGCGTCTCCTTGTGATCCCGGGGCACCGACGTCGGTGTAGATGAATTTGCAGTTTGCATATACCACAGCGAAGAGTACGATACTGTGGGTTTTCTTATAATTAAGGTAGACAGATCCAGAGTTTGGTGGCTTCCAGATGCAGACGTGCTTGCCGTCGAGTGCACCGGCACAGTTTGGAAATTGCCATTTCTGGGCGAAACCACTGATCACATCCAGCCACTCCTCTTTGGTCTTTGGAGTTCTTATGAAGTCCTCCTTCAGCTCTTCGTAGAGTGCTGTGCACGTTTCATGGATGAGGTCATTGACACTTGAGTGTCCGAGCCTGAATTGACGGCTTAATGAATGATGACTCTCTCCTGTCAAATGCACGAAGAAAAATCAAGTTGCAATTATTCGGCTTATCTCAAAATGGCATGATCTAGAAAGTTCTCCAGATGCATCAGGCAGAGCCGAGGAAGGGCAGTACATTAGGGCACCATGACAGAACAGCACACGACATAACAGCACGCGACAAAACAGCACGGTCAAAACAGCACGCGTCAAAACAGCACAGCGTCAAAACAGCACGGCGACAAAACAGCACGCGTCAAAATAGCACGCGACAAAACAGCAGAGCGTCAAAACGGCACAGCGACAGAAGAGCACGGGCCAAAACAGCACGACGTCAAAACAGCACAGCGACAAAATAGCACAGCGTCAAAACATGACATTGACAATATAGCTAGAGTTCGACGTTTTCGGTCTGTATTATTTCAAATTCCGCGCAGATTTTTTAAAGTTTTTATTCAAAATTTTTCGGTTTATTGCGGTGAATATTTGTAGACTCATACACTTCTCAGTTATATTAGGTTTATTGACGAAAACCAGTATACTAACGAAAATCCAATAATAAAAGCGTTTGTGTAAAATGTATATTGAGTACCATGTACCGGTCCTTCTTATTTGTTTCCGTCTTTGGCAGCCGATGCGATCTGTTCTGTAAGACGCACTGGGGCCTTATCGTGATCTGACATTGTCGTCGTGTGCTCGTATTTGTAGACAGGACGAGCATGAGCTTCAGTACCACTTCGTTCGGAGAGGCAAATATCAAAATGGAGAAATTAGCAAGCGTTGTACTCGGTGCGCTTTCCCCCATTATCACGACTGCGACAGGTGATAAATTCGCGCCGACTGCAGTAATGAATATGAAACACTCATAAAACACGCCCTCCTCTAGTAGATGGAAGCTAGGGGTGTTAAAAAATGCGCGCCATTTACGGACGCTCTTGATTTCTGTTGTTTGATTTCACGATTAAACTCTCTTCTTTTAACAAAAAATTCGGTACAAATCCCTATCAGGTGAAAAACCCAGATTTCGTACTGAAGACCCCTCCGCCACCGGAGCTTTTCTTCAAAGTTGAACCGATCTCGCAGACAAGCTGAAAACTTCGAAAGGAATTGGTCATAAGGTCAGTAATGAGTAGGGTTCCGTGTTTTCGGAGTTTAGTTTTCGTCAAATTCGGAGGGTATTTTTCTGAGTTTATTCTTTGCCAAAAATTCTGAGTTTATCGGTGTTTATTTTTGTTTGATTACGAATTCTCCGAAATTCGGAGCTCAATTTCGCAGTGTTTCTTATTAAAAATAAACAAATAATATCCAAATGTGAACGTATGCTGGACAAAAAAGAAAAACAAAACGCGATTGTATCAATTAATATTTTCTTCAGTTGGATTTGGCGTTGGTGCCATTACTACTGGCAATACTAATTTGTCCTAATATAAAAGTGGCACAGAAGTGTTATTTCAATAAATGTCTATACCCTGTTGGAAAATTTCGATGATGGAAAGATGACGGAAAAGGCTCATACAAACGTAACCGTAATATGGGACATCCTATACAAGCGAATCGGCGGATCCAGTATAGTGGATTACAGCGGATCGATACAGGTAGGCGGAACCATACAAGCGTGTCGTATTATGGGACATCCTATACCAGCGTAGTGGAATATGGCGGAAACATGTGGAACCATACATGCATAACGTAATATGGGACAACCTATACCAGCCAAAAGGCGATACCAGCACGGTGGAGCCATATGGCTCCAACATGCTGGTATCACCTTTTCACTGTTGTACACCCTGTTGGAAAATATCGATGATGGAAAGATGATGGAAAAGGCTCATACAAGCGTAACCGTAATATGGGACATCCTATACAAGCGAAAAGGCAGCTCCAGTATAGTGGATTATGGCGGAACGATACAGGTAGGCGGAACCATACAGGCGTGTCGTATTATGGGACATCCTATACCGGCGTAGTGGATTATGGCGGAACCATGTAGGCGGACGGAACCATACATGGATAACGTAATATGGGACATCCTATACCAGCGAAAAGGCGATACCGGCATGTTGGAGCCATATGGCTCCAACATGGTGGTTTCGCCTTTTCACTGTTGTACACGGCAATTTAGTTTTAAGCTTTACATATATGTTTAGAAAGGTCGTGAAAGCTAAATTAATGCGATTTGTGCAGGCGAGTTGTATGGCCAGGCGTACGTAGTATAGGGACCTAGTCGTAACGATCAGTCAGATAATTAAATACAATTTGTTAATTAACTTTTTAATTAGTGAAAATTAAACTATGGTTTCTATTGGAAACTTGCTGAGTCACTGAAAACCACAAAATCAACTCTTTTTAGAAGGATATAATGCAGGGGTAGCATTTTACGCGTTCTGTAAAAATGCTTTATTTGGACGAGTTTCTAGGTTTCAGTTTCTTATCAGAGCTCATCTTTGCGCCCACAGTCCTGTTCCCCAGGGGCTTAGACGCGCAACACACGTGCGCCTTGCTTCCCTCCATCCTACGAGGGAGGCGAGGGGGCGGCTTCGCACTGCGGCCACCGGGCAGCAGGACCGTAGGTGCAAAGATGCGCTCTGGTAAGAAACCGAAGTCTGGAAACGCGTCCAAATTGACCATTTTTTTAGAACACCATAAAATGCTGCTCTTGTCTTATATCTTCACAAAGAAAATTGATTTAGTGTGTTTTGATGATGCTTAGAAGTTTCTAATTGGAACCATGGGTCTATTTTCACTGATTGAAAATTTCAGGAACATACTATACTTAGAGAGAGGCTGAAGCGGTTTTGTATTTGAGAAAACACTTTTAAATCTTCTTCATTTGACCTCCAGAATCTCAAATATCAAAATTATTTGCTAATTTAATTAATCGAGGCTGCATAGAGTCATTTTTAAAGCGCTTTGAAAGCACTTCCCTAGAGAGCGACGTCACAAGAGCAGCTTTCAAAATCTTTGTTCACGCATCTTCAGCGCCTATGAAAGCTATGCACGCACATGCTATTTTTTAAAGGGGCAGAAAAATGTCACGACTGGTGCCAATGCGGGAGAATACACCTAGAAAACTTGCGACTGGACACGCGGCCCTTAAGCGACACACACTTGGCGGCTGAAAGGTCTTCTTACGATGTCACTATTGGTAGGATGTTTTTTTTTGTGTTTTCTCACGTTTAGTTATATCTTTGTGGAAAACGAACGGGATATTCAGATTCGCGGGATAAAACCACGCGAGAATGAACCTCCATCTAGTTTTCTGAAAGAAGTCTGGCACATCTCTGTAATAAGCCGACTGATCATTACAAATTAGCCTTTTATACTATGCCGCCCTGGCCAAATAACTCAAGTGTACAGACAGCGTAAATGTAGCTTTTACGGCTTTTTTAAAAAAAAATCTGTAAAATATACAAAAAAACACTCTGTAGAATGTCCCCCAATACAATATGATTGTATGGTTCCTTTCCCGCTTGCATTGTTCAAGAAAGACTTGTGGATATCCAGCGTTTCATTGGAATGCTGGATGTCAATGAGTCTCTACATCAGTGAGTGGTTTCAAACAATTATGATGTTTGCACACCAGTAAGCTCTTATCCGAGGCTCACCAGGAGCACTAAGAGCAGAGGCAAAATGTCGTGACCTGGTAAATTTGGTTGCAGGTATTTATTTTTAGAAGAACTGCATGCAGCAAAGCTTAACTTTGCTCAAAAGAAGATAATTAAAAATTCAATACTGAACAATGGTGTCCCTTGAGCTGTCAGACCAAACTCCCACTCTTGTCACTCAGGAGTTCCTAACTTGTGCGTAGAGGATCAGCACAACCCAGATTTGTGCTGCAAGCGCACCTGCAATATAAAAGTTGAAAAAAACATGAGATGAAATATGAGACGTTTACAATTCTCTGTAATGAGAAAATATAGTACAGCTCTCGAAGAGAAAGATGGGAGGGTATGCCCCTCCTTCCCCTCCCCTCCTCCTCTTCTGCTCCCTCCCATTTAGGGGGAAATTTCCTCACTAAATTTAGCGGGTTAAGTTTCCCAATATATTTAGCGCGGAAATTGATGTCACATGACCTCAACACAAATGCAGTTTTTCCGCTAAAAGTAGCGGGGAAAATGACGTCGCATGACCGTGTCACGTCATCCACAAAAAAATTCAGTTTCTCAGCTAGACTTAGCGGAAATATTAACGTCACATGACCACAACATTAATTCAATTTCCTGCCAAGTTTAGTTGGGCGGTTACGCCGACAGCGACGCCGCGAAACGCGGAAACGGGTGCTAAGAGCTGCGCTAAAAACTAAATGCATCAGGTGAAATAAAGTGAACATTAGATATACTGTAAGAAAAAGAAGAGAATCTAAGATACCGTTCTCAGATCCTTCCTTTTGTCCGTTCTCAAATGTTTTGATATCAAGAAATGTTTATCTCTTTATTCATACCCAGAGAACCCCTCCCAGTTTCAGCATGAATGCAATAAATCAATGCAGACTAGACCTAGTAAACTATAATGCACATGAAAATGAATGTTTGCCACATAGTCATGTATCAGTCAGTGGCTCAGATCTCAAAATACATTTGTATTGAGGAACATTCTTGAATAAAACTTCTGGGCTTCGAATTCAACAGTTTGTACTTCCATAAGGAACACTGTATGGCACTGATTTTTCTTTTTTTTTTGTGACACATCAGAAACAGCACAACACTGTCATCCTTGCATACCTAACAAGAATTTGTATCTTTTTTTTTAGCATGGCATGTGCTATTCTAATGCCCATACAGCCTCCTTTAACAAAATTTCCTTTGTATAGCTTTTTATTGGTTCTTATTTAGATCGCACGACAGATTCGATACCTTGAATTCTCACTCGGCATCAACAGTTTTATATATTAATGTAATAGCGAAAGACAAGATGTATGTACTTGAGTACGGTTCAACAAGCACAGATGTTGAGAAAAGTACTGAGGAAAACTCAAATGTCAAAATAAAAATAAGCTGGAATGTGGATACAATTATGGACATGGTCA